GCGACGCCCTGCCGGCTGCGCAGCTCGCCGCTGCCTGCGGCACGGCCGCGGCTGCGTCCGCAAGCGCTGCGCCGTTCCTGCCCGTGGCGCCGTTCCCCTCGCGCCAGATGCCGACGCAGGGCTCAAAGCCACACTCTGGTGGCTCCCATTGGGTGATCTGATCCATGAGGTTGCAAAGGAGACGTCCGGCGTTTGAAGGAGCATGATCGACAGATGGAGCCGCCAACACTTAGCCTCCAACAAAACCCTCGGCAGCCGCCCTGGCATCAGCTGGCCCCTGCCCTCACAACTACGGGGGCCGCTGCCGCCCCACCCCATCAGCAATCGTGCGACGCAGCCACCAGCGCCGCCCTCACCTGCAGCGCCGCGTTGTAGTAGTAATAGTGACCCATCGCGGCATCATACGCCTCCTGCCAACCGGAGGATGACGCCGATGCGCCCGCAGGCCCCTGGCCCCGCCCCTCCGCCGCGTCGCCGCCGGCCTCACTCATAGGAGTGTCTCCGCGGGCCTCTGTGTCCGCGCGCCAGCGCGCGTGGTGGTGGTGCTGCTGCCGCCGCCGCTGCTGCTGCTGCTGCTGCTGCTGCTGCTGCTGCTGCTGCTGACCGTCCCTGGACGCCTGCTCACAAGGCATCGCGCAGCAAACGCAGGCGGACACGGTTGGACGAGGCGTCGCTTCCCCAACGCACAAGCCCCACCGCCGCAGCACAACAGCGCCGCCCGCCGCATTTGCCCCCCCTGCTCGCACCCGCCCTGCTGCAATGCAAGTACCCGCCGCGGCCTCGCGGGCTGAGGAATGTGACTGGCCGCTGCGCGCGGCGGGCGCAAGGCTGAGTGACGCACCTTGCTGCCGCCGAAGGCTGTGGGCAGGCCCAGGCTCTCGAGCTCAATCGCGGCCTCCGGGTCATCGTCCTATTAATTATGATGTGTTCAATTGCGTGGATTCGAAAGTGAGGCGTATGTGAGGGTGAGGCGCTTAGCAAGCGGCGTGGCGCAGCCCCGCGCGGCCAGCGGCGGTGGGGCAGGCGCCGGCCGGCCGGCCGACCCAAGCGTGCGGCGTGGCGCGGCGCCGCGGCCGCCCGCTGCTGAGG